AGTTACGTTGCCTATATTTTTAAGAAATTTAAAAAGGAAATTTACGTAACGTGGGAATGCGACAGCAGAATTTCACTCTTTTATGGCGCTTTAACACCGGCCCGCCGGCAAAGCACACTACCATAAATTACTTTCCGAACAGTCGACGGTAGTCAGCCCTTCCGGATTCCGCCGCACAAGGTGCTGATGTTAACCGGACGGACCTTCGCTTTCTTGCCTACACCAATCAAAAATTGATCCAGCTAGTAGGTACTTCTTTTCCTTGCTCTGTAATAGGGTTCAGGGTTTTGTGATTTCTGCTGATTTCTTGTTCTGAATTTCAATTTATCTTGGAACCTTTACACTGTTGTTCTGGAGGAAACGTTGTTCTATTTTAAGTCTTTGGAGTTTGGACTTTATTATTATTATTTATTTATTTTGATTAATTATTTTATTATAAATATCTTACCTTGTTTTAAAATTTTTTAAAAAACAATATAAATAAATACCTAAATAATCTTTAAATTTTTAATTTAAAAAATTTTTAAAAATAATAGTTATTAATTGATTGCAAGATAATTATTGAACGACAAAAAAAAAAGTTAGTATAAAATAAATAGAGTAATAAATTATACATAACTTTCTTTTTTTTTTTTTTCCTGTGACCGTGAGAAGTAATTACAGCTAAACACTACCAGACTCCTTGCCTTCTAGAAAAAAGAATTATAAAATAAATAAATAAAATCAGATTCCTTACCATATCAAGATCTGTTAGCATATTCCAAAAAGAAAACAAAAATCTGTTGGCATAAAAAGGAAAGATTCTTTTACAAAACGTTGGATTTTGTTTTAACTTTGATTTGAATGTCTCGTGGAGGTACTCGCAGTGGGGAGAAGCTTGAGAAGGGAAATACTATTTTCTTTATATAGTTTATCATTTCAATTACAAAAGGAAGAAACTTTTGATTTTTATTTTTTTACACAAAAAACCCCTAAAAAAAAATAATAACTTTTGAGTATTTTTTGGTACACCAGCAAAGACTTAAAATTGGATCCTAGGGAAAGTTACTCCTAGTTCATCACCCAGCAAGATTTGACGTAACCCAAGGGGAGGGGGGGTCTTGCAAGATCGAAGTGTCCGGAGGAGCCGAATGACCCCAAGGAAGCCAAATAGTCAGTACATGCGTTGCCTTCACGGAGAGTATGGCCAAGAATAAAGCTGGAAAAGTCCTCAGCAGGCCTATGATGTCAACAATTATTGAACTCACTGGACCCCCAGGAACTCTGTCTTCAGTTAACAACCGAAATGCAACCATTGAATCCATTTCCATCACTAACTTTCGTAATACCCAGCATTTGGCAAGCACGAATCCCTTTTCTTACTACCACAATTCCGCCATAAAACTTGAGGTATAGCCAATATTAACAGTGAAACCCTGCACCCACTTGCCAAGTGAATCTCTCACTAAACCTACTGCAGTGGCCAGACACGTGACATGTGAGAGTGCTCCATCCGTATTCAGCTTATACCAGCCTGTAGGTGGGGGTTTCCAAGCAACCCATCCCAAATCCCTCTGTCGCGCACTAATTCCAGACCTTTGTGCCATATAAAAGTGTAGTGAGAATACTGCAAAATAGTGGAGCAAAGAACATGCGGTGGGGTGAAAGCTTGCTCGAAAACAAACTTGTTCCTATCTTTCCATAGAAACCATTAAGCTGAAAGGAACACCAACGCCCAGGGAATATGCATGTCACCATGTTTTCTTCCTAAATGTAAATAATTTCAATGATAAATTCTCGTCCTCTTTAAAATTGAATCTTACTCACATTTCTTAATATATATATATATATAAGTGTTATATGTTATATTTATATAAAATTTTAACAATTTATTTTTTATTTTTAATAATGGTAATTTATTCATATTTATTAAAAAATAGTTATATTTTTTATTTAAAAATGATAAATCTTAACAAGTAAAAAAAAAAAGTTAAAATGTTATATAAATAT